GGAGGGGGGGGGGGGGGGGGGGGGGGGGGGGGAGGTGAGTACTTTGGGTTGTGACTACTCAGCATTCCTTTGCTCTACACCAAATGCTCCTCTGCGACCAAACGTCTTAAGTGACTTCTATTGAGGATACCTTTGTCACTACGTTTACCTTTCGGTATTTCCCCACCCAAGTGAGAGGACTGAAAGTCAACATTCGGGGTTATAACCCGGTTGATGAACCATTGACAGTTCACCTAGGGGAGTTGGGAAAAACCTTGATTCCAGACTAACTAATAAGAGATGTAGGAACAGTACCCACACAATCCTTGTTCTGACTATGGTCACAGACTTTATTAGATATCGAGATGCATTGAGTACAAAGTTTAAAGGACATGTGATTCGATGCACTACATACCCCGACCTTCAGTGGATTACGGTTTTGACATACCGCCATATTACATTGCGGGTCAGGCTTTGGCTATCTGAAGGCCCCGGTTGGTAATCCCCCAAAGTATTCAACTGCATTGTTTTTTGCCAAAATGGCGGCATTCCGCCAGAGAGCTTATCATAGAGCTACTTCTTGATTTTGGAGATTGTTTTACCGTGGTTTGTTTAGTGCGGTCTGAATTCAGACGTAAAAAATAATATAGTGAGTGGGTCGATGGATTTGCACTGTTAATGAGATCCAACCAGGCCAAAACGTCATACAGTGCTTTTGGGTTCACTCCTCAATTGCACGTCAGATAAATTTCACCATATGAACTAACTTGTATGACTCATCATTACCACGTTTAGATGAGTGTTTCACCAAGTCTACTACATTAGAGCCATTCATTCTTTGACATATGTCCACAGACAGCCTTTTATTTTTTTACGATTCATGATCTTTCCTTTCTCTGCCCTTTTGTTTGTCGTCTTTTCAAGTCTGTCGGTAGTCATCAATGGTATGCACGACCGGCTGTGAATACAGTGGCTGATATTTTGGGCAAATTACTCACTGTCGGCACGAGTGATCCAGGTTAGTTACATTTGCGATTAGTTTCGCAACACATTCTCATAGTGCATTAGCCCGGTTGGTTATAATCATCATCCTAAGTCCAGTTTTATTGCTCATTGTGATTTCTAGTGACGGCAGTGTTGTAGCGAATTAAAGTGTTTAGAGTTTGCGAGGCAAGTTTACTGGTGTCGATAGTATCTTCTCAGTTAGAAAACAGGATTTTATCGCACTTCGTACTTAAAGTTCTGTGAGGCGTGTTTATAAATGCATCGAGTTTTGCTTTTGACGCATGGACCAGCTTCATGATGTATATTATATTATTATATTTCACACACGCCTGACGCCAGACTGTGTGCCAACAAATCATGGTACAGTAATCTTTATAAAAAACGAAAAACGTTCTGTAAGCTCCGTGGGTCTCTTTTAACTTAGATCTTATCTCGGTCTGCTTACTCGCTTGATTATTCGCAATCCCAGTTGATTTGAGCAAAAAGTAAGCACGGGATACGTATATGAACATCAATGCGGTTCGGTAAGAAATAAATAACTAACATTTAGTATACGTAAATAGGAGGTTGGCATACATCGATAGTGAAAGGGGTAAGTACTCACATCAAGATTTCCTGATTCCGCGTAAATACACCACATAATATGATCCACAGGGATCTTGCGTAATAGTCCGGTGTGTAATCGATTGTGTGTGAAACCCTAGTCACCCAGACTGGTGGGCTAATGTCACAAGGTCAAGTACGAATGTGCGAATGGATCAGAGCGATGAGGTGACATGGGCGGTGAGTGCGTGTATGGTCGTGTGACTGGTTGCCTTATCCTAGTGCGTGTTGGCTTCGCATAACTGGTGTGTTGTGTGTCGCATGACTTCACGAGTGTGAACACATGTGTATGTAGGATGGGCAGATGTGTGTGGGATATGATAGCACCCGATCGGGAACCATGTCGGTCGCTCTCTGATAATTCGCCAGGACCATATCCTAAATCGTCCAGTCTACACGTTCCATGATTGGCTTGTGGGCTGAATAATGTCAGGTTGCCCAGGTCAAGACAGGTGAATTTTCTTGAGGAATCCACAACCGGAGCCTTCAGCTAGCCGAAGCCTGATCCTCAAAGCAGCGGGGCAGTGTGTGAAATCCATTGGGGGTCGGTTTCCAGTTGATCGGATCATACGCCCTTCGGACGGGGTCAAACGTCCAAGGTGCCAAATCAAGCCGGTGACCACTGCCACAACCAAGAAGGTGTGTGTGGTTCGTGCGCTTCCTCTCGGTTGGTTCAGAATCAAGGCTTTTGGCCAACTCCCCTAGGTGAACTGCCATTGGTCCACCAACCCGGCTATGACCCCGGATTTCGGCTATTCGTGATGGGAAAACACCGCCACGAGGTGTCAGTGAGTAGGGCTTCCTCAGCAGAGGCTGTTTGATACGCTTAGTCGTATGGGAGCATTTCGCGAGGTGCAAGAGATGGATGATCAGTCGCAACCCTAGACACCCACCCCCGACCATGCTGAGGCTTTAGGAGGCAGTTTCATGATGACTTCTACTTTGTCTTGTTTTTGGTCATGTGCCGACCCACATTCCTGAAGCCAGATGGTAAAACGATTACCTGACTGTTCCGCTTGAATAAAGCCTTATAAATCTGTCCGACTGTACCATGAGCACACACTGTTTCCTGATGTTTTGTCAACTAGCATTTTATTTCACACAGACTACAGTGGCAAATTTGGGGTTATAGAGGCGGAAGCTTTCAAGTTCCATCTCCGAATATGACGAAACTTCGGATCAGGTTATCTCTTAGGCTAGCAGTATTTTTGATGTAAAATTGGTTTGTTTCATCGGACGGAAACTGAGTGTCAATATTCAGGAGGACATTGTGTAAGGTTGATGAATCACCAAAAAAACGTTTGCCGAACTCTCTTCTTTTGATTATGTGAACATCAGTACATGTGTTCTCTGCACTTTGACTGAACACAATTCACTTAGAATCATTGCAGCTTTCTCTGTCGCGTGCAATGGATGATCGTGGCAACTCACTTTTCGAGTTTGCGTTTCAGCCGTCGGACGTCACCAGTCGATGTATGGTCTCCAAAAGAACCCCCGATCATAGTTCAACCAATGGTTTTCTTCTATTCCAGAGAAACAAGGTTTCTAAATTGAAGTTACTGACCGATGCACACAGTTTTTCCGTAAACCGATTATCGAAAAACGGGGTTTGAAGGAATATTTGATAAGAGTAGCACCTTTGAGGCATATTCTGTCCATTCGCTGCTCATCATTTATCGTTTTCTCACCTGAGCTTCTATGAATCTGTGGTACGCATAATCAACCCACGAACGGTAAATCACTCAAATAATGAACGAGACCGATTTGAGAATAAGAGAGGCATAAAAACCTCGGCGGGATGATGGCATACGCCGTACGAAAACAGCTACTCAGTGAAGGTAGAACTTTGTTAGTCGATTTGGTGGCCATGGAAGGATGTGCTCGATCCATGGGTTGCCCTCGGATCTATTTATATATTTAGCGGTTTAATAAGCAAAGTTAGGCAATCTGAACACGTTGACGTTGCCATTTCTAAAACAGAATTTGTATCGATCAAGTTCGCGTGTCGAACTTTTACCCTCCTCTCTTATGAATCCTTTTTTACTTCTCTTCACTTAAAGGGTTTGATGTAATTTGTGATTACTTTTCATGAGTCCCTGAATCAGCAAATGCGCTCTTGTTCTGTGGTTTGTTTTATTTTTCTTGCTATCTTGCCTCAGCTATCGTTCGTCCTTCCAATCATGTAAAGCGATCCACTTCTATCTTTCTTTTCAGATCCGGATGTTCGTCGATGTGTGTTTGACTCTATCGATCGTGGATTTGACCCTCATTTAGCACAAGCGGACCATCTCCTATCATTGTTTTTGGCACTGCAAGATGAAGTGTTCGACATCCGTGTTTCGGTGCTTCAGCGTCTCGGTCGTTTGTCCGACATCAACCCCGCATGTGTTCAGCCGAATCTGCGTAAAGTTCTTTTGCATGTATGTGATAATTAGGTTGTGCGTGTATTTGCTTATTTTTTTCCAAATCTTCAGAATATGATGACATTTCATATGGTTTCATGTCAAATCGAAGATATTTCATCAGCGTATTCTTAGCATAGGTTTTACGTCCGTGATAAATGAAATATTCCCATCAGTTAACTGGAAAGGTTTTGCGAAAAAGTTCACGCGACACCATATTCGCTTTATTTTGTACATTTGTGTTTTGCGTGCCGGGTTTTCACCGAAGGACTCATCTGAGCGATGCTGCAAATATTTNNATATTTTTCAGATCCGAGTGGAACTGTAACTGGATTGACTTATTGATCTCACCCACAGCTGTTTAAGGCAGACTTTGACAGTCGTACCTAAAAGGGGGCTAAATCTATGCTACTGGTGTACTGCTTCGTGGGATTCTGAATTTCAGTCTCAAACTCACTGCAGCACTGCTACTTCTCTCCGTTCCATTCCAAGCCACACTCGTGTTCGTTGTGATTTAGCACTCCATTTGCCTAGACTAAAAATCTTATTACATTTAATAGTACTGTATCACTGAAGCATACAATTAAGAAATTTCAAGTTACTTTCAATACTGATTTTGCATCGGGTGGTAGTGAGCTGTTTCCGTATCATTACCAGTGACACCTTTTATACATTGCTTTTACTCAGTTTCAGTTTTTAAAACCATTAACCATGTGCTTTCGTGCGGTTGGTTGATGTTTTAGATTACCTTTTGGATAAAAGAGCGGAAGAAAGGTTGGAATGTTCAAAGCAGAACCGAAAGAAAAACCGAGAGTTTAAATGGACTAAGGTTGCAAGGATAATGTGTAGATCCACGAGTGCCGCTGTTTGCAACACGCAGCCGTATCACTCAGTGTCTCTAACCATGATTTAAGATGATCCCGATGTCCCCATTTAGGAAACAGTACGCGACCCAGCTGACCGAGTTTCCTTGTTAGGGTTTTTATACCCTCATGCCAGGTCTTAATTTGACCACTCTTGACTTCTCTATCCACTACCTGTCTCGCAAAACATGGTGGTGAAATTGGTAACACATGCTCTAACCAGTGAAGTTTATGGATGCCGACAGTTTGCCCCCAGTAAGCTATCGCGATCACCGAAACCGTTAAGCTTAAC